GGCCCGTCCTTGGGGCAGCCAAATTGCGCAGCCTCCGGCTCGAGGCAAACCGGCAGTCGTGGCGTGTTGAACAGGGGGGGAAACCAAGGTGAATGATGAACCCAAAACAAGGGAAACACCCCAACACCTCCCCCCCACCCAAGACGGGGCCAGAGGCACCCAAGTCCCGGTGGGGAGAGATCATACGACTCCACCTCCAAAAGGGTAGTGAGACACGACCTAGCGGCTCTCACCCTTCAAGATCGCCTCCTTTGCCACCGAGTGGATGGCCGCCAGCCCTGACTTCTCTGGGTTGCTCAGGATGACCGACCACAGGGCAGTGGAGACATCCCCCAGGCCATTCGAGGAGCTGAAGCGCATGCGCGGGGTGCTCGCATCTCCAAGGACTAGCCGCTCGTCCCTGGGGGGCTCCGTCGGCTCCACCCGCTTGTAGAACTCCATCCTGTCCCGGATCCACTGGTTATAGAGTTGCTCCGGGGGCTCGTCCATCACCAGCTGCAGGCATGTGGCCTTGTCCTTGTGCCAGCCCGTAATCTGGAGCAGCCTGGTCCCCCCACGGCTCGCCTTCCAGAAGCCCTTGCAGAACCTGCACATGTAGCCCCCGGTGGTCTTGAACTTCTCTTTGCCCACCACTTCCCATGCGCTGATGCTGGGCAGGACCAGGCCGCACTCCACCGAGGCCCAGAACACGTGCTTGGTTCCATTCGGGAAGTGCTTGTTGATGTACTTCCGGCCCGCGACCGCCGTGACCGTGGACGTGGTGATCGGGGGGTACCGCCTGGTACCCTGGTCCGGCGTGCGGAGCGTGGTGTCCGCTCCCGCCAGAATCTTGGCCTTGGGGTCCGATTCCTTGGCCGCCCCGCCCCCGGGGCCAGAGGCACCCAAGGGGGGGGAGCAGCCCAGCTGCCTGATCAGGTCCTGGGAGTAGCCCAGCCGGTCGTACAGGGCCCCCGCCGCCTCCTGCGGGACCGGCTCCACCCAGTCATGGACCACGTTGCAACGCCAGTTGACCTTGATCTCCACCATGGAGGACTTACTCAGGCCCGCCACCAGTTTGGTGTACACCGAGTCAAAAGCCCTCAACGATGACAGCGGAAGTGTGATTCGCTCGTCACAGACCGCCCTGAAACGCAGGGCCTCCTTGCTGTCGTGGACGGGGGCCACTGGGAGCTCCATCACCGGCAATGGGCAATTGACGATGAAGTTCTTGGCTGCCAGAAACGTCCCCATCTCCTTAAAGATGTAGCTCCATTCCGCCTTGCTGCGCGGCTTGGGGATTCCCAGGCTCTCCAGGAAGGGGACCGCCTCCTTCCGCATCTGGAGGATGTTCCCCATCCACTTATCCGAAGTCGAGCCCTCCGCATTGCGGCCCCGTCGCTGCGTCTTCACGACCAGCGGGAATGTGTACTTGAAGGTGAAGCGATGGGCGTACACCCCTGTCAAGCTCGGCAGGTCCCACGTGCGAGTCTGCCTTGTCCAAAACACGCCATCGCCCTTAGCCCAGAAGATCCCCACCACCTGCTCCGGCGCCGGTTAACCTGCGCTCGGATCTCCAGGGCCGAGTAGATGATCGGGTCGATGTGGTCCCGCTCACACGTGAGTGGGTGGGTCCTGCGCTCCAGGGCCAGGAGCTCCTCCGGCGAGAGCTTGAATTGCTGGTCCGCGCCCTTGGGGATCTCACCGCTGGAGTGCTTCTTCCAGATCCCCCCAAACATCCGTAGCAGGGACAGCTTACCCTCCTCCGAGTCCAGGTCCTGCGGTGGCCCTGACTGGTCCCCCCCGGGGCCAGTGGCACCCTTGGGGGGGGCCGGTGTCGCCAGATCGGGCATCTCCTCCAGCAACGCCTTCTGGTTCCACGGGTTCTGCGCCTCTCTGAGCCTCCGGATGTATGGGACGTACTTCTCCTTGATGTCCCCCACGTTGGGGATGTCTTCAGGGTCATCCAGCTCCAGGGGGCAGAACAGCTCCAGGCTGCCTGAGATCATCTGGCCATGCCGACACCTCCAGGGGCTGGAGGGTGTGGTTAAGCATCCATGCCTGGTTGGTGTCCTGGGTGCGCTTGTTCGCCTCCTGCGCCTCCTGAATGGAGCCCATCGCATCCGCCAGTGCCTGGCTGGCGTCGACACCCTTTCCCTCCAGGTACTGGTCTCGCAGCTTGGCCTTGAATCGCTCCAGGTTGACCTTCCTGAGGGCCCGGGCTCCCTCGTTGGCCACCTCCTCTGCCGGCAGGGCCTGCATGCCCTCCTGGAGAGGCGCCAGGATTGCCATCTCATTGTCCAACATCTCATCCGTGACCAACTCCTTGTGCCGCCGCCTGGCCGAGGACTCCTCCGGGGTCGGTTCCCGGTGCTCCCTCAAGGCCTTGTGCAGCTCTTCCTTTTTCCGGATCGCCTGGTCCACCTGGGGGTGGTAGAGCTGGAAGCTCTGAGCCTCTGCCTCCTGCAGGGACCGCTGCACCTTGACCTTGACCTCCGGACCTTCAACGCCTCGTCGTCCGCCTCCATGGACAGGATCTCCTGCCGGATGTCCACCCTCCTGTTAAGCGGGACCACGTCAGCCATAGTGATCTCCTCGGCCGTGTCCGTTTTCGGAGGAGCTCTCCCCAGGATCGTGCCGTCCACCAGGTTGCGGTCTGCCTGTGCCCGGGCACCACCGGGGCCAGCGGCACCCAGGCTTCCCCCATCCCGCTGCTGGATCCAGGCCTCCACAATGAGCAGGTTGTACGTGACGCCGTCCGCCTCGTAGGTAGCCGAGGGTGCCTGGAAGGGGACAAACTCCTTGCCCGGGCAGATTGGCTGCCTCCGGCCACCCCGTGCCGCATGCCTTACACATGAATTTGTAGTCCGAGTGGCCGGCATCAAGTCTGTGCATCCGCTGGGTGCCAATGCATGCCTTATTCCGCTGGAACTGTGAGGCCCAGACCTCCTCTTGCCGGATCTGGATCTTCATCGGAACATAAGCCTCCAGGATGCGAACCACCAAGTCCTCCGTGAGATTCTTCCCGACAAACTTGTGGAACAGGGAGACCGCCTCCTCCACCGTGACGTCCCTCAGCAACGTGGCCGCCGATGCCGGAAGGACCGGGAAGAGGTCTGGGAGGTCAACTAGCTTGAAATAGCCAGGACGGCCATCCACCGGCACCAGGGAGACCGGTTTGTTCACCAGGGCCGTGGTCTTCTGGGAGGCCGCCACGAAGCCCTTCAGCCTCTTCGTTGGTGGAGTAGCCCGCTCCGTGGTGACCTCATCGCCCATCTCCTTGTCCTCGTCCTCGGCGGGGCCAGGGGCACCCAGGCCGGGAGTCGGTGTGGAGAAGGCCACACGGAGCCGCTCCAGTGCACTGGAGAGGTCGTTCATCACATCGGTGGCCGATGCCGCCGGGGGCGCCTCGGGCTCATCCAACACCAGGCCGGCCGCCACAGCCGCCTCGCGTGTGCGGACTTCCTGGGCCTCCTGGCTGGCCATTTCCACCTCCTCCGCGGTGAGTGCCTGGTCCTCAATCAACTCGAAGGAAGTTGCCGAAGTTGCCGAGGAGGCCATTGCTGGTTCGGGGTTAGTTCGGAAGTGCTACCTTTCAATTTTTTTTATTTTTTTTTCACACAAGTTGGGTTCAGAGAACCCAAGAACAAAGCTTGAGCCAAAATGGCCGGGGCCATTATGGTCAAGCATTTCAAACACAGTTCATGTTTCCACATGCGTTTCAACATTAACAAAGACTGGATACCACCTAACAACTGGTGAGGCGTTTCCCCAGGGTGGCGGCCCCGGCCACTTGACTCCACTGGAATTTGCGGCTCCCCAAAATAGCAATAGACCCAGGGGCAAGTTTGTCACTTGATCATATCATAATCACATATGTCCCAAAAAGACTGAGTTGGATATGTGCATGTGCATCTGGTGGTATCTACATTGAGATCTAGCACCGTGGACCATCCTGATACTGAGATTGGCCCGTCTGTCGCAGAACAAACCTCGGGTTGATCCTTTGGCAAAGCACGTGAAGGATTGCTCAATCCCTTGCAAACCCTTGACAGAATGGGCAGGGAGTTTTGGTAAGATTGTGGAGGCCCCACCGCCCGGACTCAGTCTAGCTGAATGTCGCAAAACCTGAGAAGCAACGACCGGGCAAATCGATGTGCTGACCATGACCTGGCGGATATGCATCATGTAACCTCTCTCTGCGCAGTTCAGAATTGCCCAGGAACAACCAAACCCCGATCCTCGATCCCTGGTTGGTTGTCGAGGCTGAATACTCGAAGTGTGAAGTTGCACTTGAAGTCTATTCACATTCCAGCCAGCCGGCATGGTTGTGGAGAATAGCCCGTTTGATGATTCCATTGTGATTCTGTCTCATCCACCATGGCCACTTTAGCACTGGAAGGAGGATTCCCTCGAGTTTTTCTCACGGAAACTATGATTCCTCGCATGCATCATCTGGATGGATTACAATCATTCACCAACCCAAGAGAATATAAACTAAAGCGACCTTGGGTGAACATGCGTTGATCCGGGTGCCAGTTGATCCGGTGCCTCAGCCTTGATCATCTTCGCAGGCAAGGATTCGTCCTGGCCAAAGGGGGGGGTGACTGGAGGTGAGGGGACAATCCCAACCGTGGCAAGACCTTGTTCATTCTTGCGGATTTGGTAGGGAAGGAGTGCCAGGTGCTGATTTAATCCATCTGGCACACAATTCCACCCTACGATGACTCACCCCGGATTTCACAGACTACCAAAGAAGCCCCCCCCTCCCTTCATTGTCCAAATTGCAGACCCTGCTTGGGCTGAGAAATCCTAACTGCGTGTGTCAAATCCAAGAAGAGAGCGCAGGGCGAAAAAGGCGGCACAGGCAAGAACAAGGGCAAATGTAGATATCAGACAGTGCCCTGACATGAGGGATACCAGGCAAAAGCTGCTCTAAAGAGTGAAGAAAGGCCGTGGCAGAGGCTTCAGTCCGCTGAAGGAGGATCCAGGCTTCACACCAAGCACCTGTCTGCATGCACGCTTCAGGACCATCCACGCTCCTTCACCTCGCCCTCCTCCGCAAAGTCGAGCCCCGGGGGGGCCTGCTTGTGCAGGAAGAGGCTCACAATGGTCCTCGGGGCAAGGCGGCGACATGCGGAGCCATCCAGCCCAAACCCCATGAATGGGGACTTGTCGGCATTTCATAATTTGGAGACCCCTGTCCACTAGAGTCAACCCACTTGTTGTTCGCATCACAGTGTAGCACACCAGCCAAGTGCTTCATCCAGACGGAAAGAGCCGTATGATTATGCTGAAAAAGATGATTCAGCCCGGGTGTGTGTGTGTGTGTACCCCTGATTGTTCAGGGTGTCATCTTCAGGCCGGGCTCGAGAAGTGGTATTTATCGTGGACACACGTTTGTTCAAAATACACCCTTACAAGTTAGAGGGTATTATTTCCTCCACGAAGATCTCACACAATCGAGGCTCCAACCCTAACCCAAAGCAGCCGCCGGTCCATAGACACGCCCTCTCTGGATGGGTTTTTGAGGGGGCCCTTGTTGCCGTCATGTTTGTGTGTTTTGCTTTGTTTCTGGAGAATCCGATGCAAAAACTCAGCGGGTGATTGTTTTCTGGCGAACCAAAGGAAGAGCCCTTTCTGGCGAAACCAAAGGGAAAACCCAGCGCAGTGTTGTGCGTTGGTTTTCTGAGGAACCCAGAAGAAAATCCAAACATTTTGAGTCACAGAGTGTTGAACCCTGATTTTTGTTCCACAAGTGGATTTTTTTTCTCTGGGGGTCCCTCATTCCCAGTCTCGACACTAAGCTCGAGGCTGGGTGCCCGAAGGGCGCTTCTCGAAGGTTTGCATCAGCTCCTGCGCGGGAAATCGGATGTCGGCAATGGTGTGTCTGAATGGGGGGGAAACCCTTGGGTGTCCGCCCGTTGATTTCCAAGTACAAAAGGCAAGACAAGAACAACTTCCCAACTCCAAGAAAATGACACCTAAATTAGGGGAACCACTTTTCAACCACCTTTGAATCAGTCAAGGGAATTCCGAAAGGAGGCCGGCGGACGGACGACGTAGGGGGCCCCTGAGTTTGGACACAAGCCTAAGATGGTGGCTTGCCTGCGTTCAATCAAAACGCCGAGCCTTGATGACCTTGGGCGAGGTCACCTGCCAGAGTTGCGACACAAGCAGAAAGTTCGAATGTCCTCGGGTCACGAAGACAATGGGCAACTCCCTGGCTCGCTTTGAGGCCGAAAAAAGACCTGCAAGGGGGCCTAACCCTCCAGTGCTGAATAGTCGCGCGCCCACACGACTCATTGCTCTCAGTCCAATCGAGGATCAGGGGTCCTCCTGGTTAGTTTGCTTGGTGAGAGTGGGGCGTCCAAATCCCAAACCTGGGCCCAGGTTCTACCCATGTAAAGTCAAACATCTTCTATCTGGGCGCCTGTTTCTCAACTGAGCTCTGGATTCGAAAAGACCGCATTTGGCGCTCCATGTCATAGTGACACTCGGGATCCTTCCAAAAGGGTGCGCAAGTCGTTTTGACACACTTGGGTATGAGTTCAGTTGAGCAGTACAATTGCATATTTGGGGACTCTTTGGTGGACATCATCGACATGTCCGACCATTTTGAGGGTTTTCTTCAACAGGGATTCCGAGCCATATTAGTCAATGTACAGGGAACAGTGGCCATTGCCCATCCGGCACCAGTTGCCCCTTGGTAGCCATGTGCCTGGATGATGGTTTGCTGCATCGGGAACAGCGGCCTAGACAATTGCTTGCCCAGCAAGGCACATGATTGCTGTGCCCTACACTAACCGGGTCCATCTCGGAGAAGTTTGAGAAACCTGCCCTTGTTCCAGAAATCATGGAAGTGAAGAGGAGAGTTTTGACTGACTACCATCCTCTTGAAAGGTCCCTTGTCCACTTCCATCATTGTGGGAGAAAAAGAGTGACAACAATACTGAGTCTTTACTGAGTCTTTACTAAATTCATAGGGAAACCTGCCACGTGAAGAACACGCCACGTGAAGAAGCCCAATATTCAACTGCAACAGGTGATGTTTGAGGCAGCAGACAGGGCAATGTGGCAATCTTTGGGTCGATCATGACTGCCTGAAGCAATCAAATGATTGACACATTCCAACCGTTTTGCCAAGGCGGTTCTTTTCATGAGGGGCTTGGGAATTGAGGCCAGGGTTTGAGCCTAACATGATTGGGTGTCTAACCACAGAGTAACTTGTGCCAACTGCCCTCCACTTACAATGCCTGAGTACCGTAAAGATGACTGCCGCATGGGGAGAAAACTCTTTGTTCCGGGCGGACGTTGCATGACATTGCAATGGGAAGACGCCATGCGCTTGCTTTGGCTTGTGTTTTTTTTTGGTATCTAGGAGGGGTTCTCTAATTAGTGGTCCCCCCCAAATGGTTCGCTACTGTTATAAAGGGGGTCCACCGTTTCTCAGTCATCTGGCACCATGACAGTCTCATTCTCCGTGAGCCAGTCTCGGAGCAACGCGCGCGCCTTCTAAATGAGGGCAAGGCTATGGACCACGGCTCAAATCCTGGCAACCCAAGAGACTCAGGTCAGCCAGACGTGAGAGGTCAATCGCGAAGGGAAAGGAGTCTTGTCAACACGTCAGAAATCGACAAACCTTGCAGGTGTCTCAAAAAATGCCGTTGCCGCAAAACGGCGCGGCCCCGCTTTTGTGGTTCAGAGGGCCCATTGTTCCACGCCCGGCATTCCAGTCCTGCGAAGTCCTTCCTGGCCGGGGCCCGGTCAACATGCCAAGCCCAGAACCAAAGAATGACGCCCAGCTCAGCGAAATCTGACAACACCTCAAGCCTTTCTTCAAACCAGTGAGCCTGGGTGAAAGCACGAAGCCGATGCTCCTGAACAAAAAGCTGGTTTGCCAGACCTGAACCTATGCGTGGCTGGCCCAGAGCTCCAGGGGTGACCAACGACCAACAAGATCTATGTCCTGGAGGTTGTGAATGTAAGGAAATTTATGTGTGCCGGCTGCACTTGTCAAACATGGGAATGCACATACCCACGGGCACAAATTAGCTGTCCGGGTCCCCATATGCCAATGTGCCCCCTCCCGAACTAGGAATTGACTACCCGTCTCTTCTACTCCAAATACCCACTTTGTCTAGGTATCCCCACCGCCGTCGGCACCCCTCGCTCCCCCACGGCCTGAGCTGGCCCTCAGGCTTCACCGGCACCACCGCGCCCTCCTGTCGAACAAACTGGAGGTGTCCGCTACAAAAAAAACAAGCATGGCGCTGGGTGTGAGCTGTAGTGGACATCATTCACATAGTGGGGGAATTACGTCCACCAACCGCTTTTGAGGTGGTTACCTAGTAAAAATCAGCCACATGGCACTGGTAAGTAGAACCAAACTAAAACAACCGGCAATTTGCAACTAACCTGTGCTTGCGGCTGCAGCGGGCGGTCTTGGTTTTTGGTTCGTTTTCACTCTGATCAGCATGGGGGGGGGGGACGCTTCACTTTAACTAAAAGGTGCACCTGGGTTGTTGAGACATGGTGGACCTTCCAAATGCTTGGTTTTCCTGTGCAACCCCTCACAAAAAGGAAATGAGTTCCAAGCTATTGATATCTTAGATCCAAGGGGGGGTCCTCTGAGAAAAATGAATCACACCCATGTCGCCTCCCTCCCCCTGGACCTCGAACGAACTTACCCTGCCTGCGCTGATGCGCGGCCTCGGTCTGGTCTGGAGGGGGGGGTTCCAAGACACACTCCAGAAAGACCGCCAGGCAATTAGAACAAGTTTTGTTGTGGCATGTTGGTGCTTGGCTGGAAGTTTCCTCCAGTTTTCTGAGATTTAGCCTAGGAACGGGGTTCCCGAGACCAAGGAGACATGACTAGGGGCGAGTCATGGTGTTGCACCCCCTTGCTTACAGAGGCCAGTTTGGCACTCGTGCTCTGGACGTTGCAGGAACTTCACCTACGGTGAAGAGTTTCACCATGGCATAGCTGTTCGAAGCTTCGCTCCAGAAGTGTCCCTCGATGGGCTCCACGTTGAATCAAAGGCCATTACACAAACCCCACCTGATCAGTCGGGATTCCCTGGAAGAACATCAGATGGGAAAGAATCGTGCCTCAATTGCAGGCGTTGATTGGCTGGCAAGACCTGAAGGAAACCGCTTGTTTGGTCAGACACTTAAAAAATGTGGAGCCAATGTCTCAAGTGTGCGTCTCGGCTATATGAGGCAGCCACCCCTCGCTATTCTGGCACCTGTCTGCCTGCAAGCGTAGGGCTGACATCCGGTCGTTCAAAGCAGCGCCGTGGTTCTGAGTCACAAATCCAGCAAGCCCTGATAAGTCTCTTGGGTTGACTGCAAAAAATGCTTGAACTTCCGCATTGTTGGGCAAAACGCACCCTTGCAAGTCCACCAGTTTCAGTTGTCTGGGGTGGACATTAACTTTGACATGTTGTTAGAAATATTGAATCAATGCTACACGTCCGAATGCCACTTTCATTGAGCAAACCTATTCCCGTCCTGCCTGTCCGCGCCCTCCTTTTCGAGCTTCTGCGCGTCAGAGTTGGCGCCTGCGCGAAAGCGCAAAGGTCAGCGCAAAGGCAGCGGAGGCTCTTCCCCATCTAAATATCAAAACAGGGTTGGGGGCCGGCGAGTCGGGAGCGTTTTACCTGGCGCCTGGCTTTCTCCAGGCACCTCAGACCACCAAAACCAGCTAGCTGGCTGCGAAAGCCTCGCTTTTGGTCGGATTCTGACCCGATGGCCTTGGGGCGTGTCCTTCCCATCCGAATCCTTCCCATCATCGGAGTTCGACCTCGGCTGGACGCCGGCTCGGCCGGAAATGCCTGCCTCAAGCGCGAGGATCAGTTTGGGAACACCTGCAAAAGGGCTCTGGCAAACAGTCGCTATAGGTCTCTTTGCACATGTTGTTTGTTCTCTTTGTGCTCCAAACCCAGAACTCCCAAGCAGAAGTTGACAAAAGAAATGTCTCTTGCGAATACCCGCTGGATTTCTGGGGGCCGAAAGCTCCGCCCAGCAGCCAGAAGAAGCGCCGCGTCTGCACCATGGCCGGAATGGGGTCCTGCGCGTTTTCGCCGCGAGAAGGAAACGGAATGGGCCCTTAACATGAATCTTTGCAATGCCTTTTCACCCACCATAGACCATAGACCACTAACCTGCGACTCCAAACTCCTGGCGCAGGTGCCAAATCGTCCGCATAGCCGGCCTCGAGGCGAGCTGAAGGCAGTTCTGTTCGTCTTGCGAAACACCCGAGTTGAGGGCTCTGAAGGGAAAGGAAAATGGAGCACCTTGCTAACTTGGACTGTTGTACCTGCAAATGCGCCTACCGAACGAAATGGATCAGAAGTGGGTGAAATCTAGACCTCATTCACATGGACCGGCGGGAAGGGTAGAACCTGGTTGAGGGCAAAACCTCTTTGAGGGAGGTACCGACAAGATTCCCCGGTTCAGGTGGCCTGCCCAGTTGAAAACAAAACTGGCCAGGCTGTGAATCGAACCAGCCGCCCTTTGAAGGCGCTTGGGTTTGGCCTATCCCGACCCATCGAGCCATGCCGAGCTCGCAGCACGCGGTGCTGAAGCGGCCGGACCTCCAGCGATGCGATGTTCATCGCGGCTTCCGAGAGAGGAGGTACTTCTCGGCCCATCCACTTGGGTTTTTGTGTATGCCTTTTCTGGTACCTTTTATTTTCTGTTGGTTTGAAAACTAAGAGGAAGACCGCCATGTTTTTGAATTTTAGCACTTAGCCACATAAAACCTGGCGGGAGCGGGTCCTGGAAGACGATTTTCCTGTAAAAGGGTCCGTGGGTTCGATTTAAGTGGATGGGAGGGTAAGCATGGTTGTGGAGCATGGTGCCCCTTCTGTGACATATCATGACTACTTTATCACCTAAGGGCTATCTCGCCCACCCACCCACCCATCCACCCACCCACCCCCCACCCACCCATTCTCCCCCATTTCCGACAACTGAGCATCTAAGAGCCTGCAACAGCAAAGCACAGAAATCAAACCAGTTTAGAGTAGTATACAGAAACTGGCACTTTCAAGGATTCAAGGGTCCGGACCAGGCCTTCATCTTGCCACAGAAAACACACGGCGCAAGACTGGAGTCCACAGCCTTTGCGACAATTTGCTCAAGGTGCAATTCATGACTCCAGCATCAGCAAACGACCTTGCATTGCTGCCATCCATGGGAAACTAGCTGAGGCCGGTGATGCAGCCGGGTAGCTTCAACAGGTCCAATTTGGGTCGGCGACTAGAATCGAAGATAGGCCTTTGGTACCGGTTGTCTATGGATGTCCATGGTATGGGGTGCACAAAACATGAGGATGGAGGCCGCACGTCCACGCGCCGCGCCCTTTCTTTTCGTCCCAAGAGCTCTGCGCCGTTTGCAGCCATGCTCCGGCCCTCCGTCGCGCGCTGATCGTGACCTCCCTCTCGCGCGGCCTCAAGCCGAACCGGGAGCGGCCTTCATCACCTCTCGGCGGGATGAGTTGCAGCCGTCAATCCAGCGGCGGCCGTCAATCCAGCGGCGGAAGGTCAGAAACCAAAACGCAGCCGCACTGCACAGTGAGGCCCAGCGATTCCTTGCATGGATGCACTGTCGCGTCTTTAAAGGCACTGCGTAAGGGTGCATTGGCTAGGCAATCCACATGTGTATGTGTGTGTGCGTGCGCGCAAGGCTCCTTCAGGGTGCCACACACACCAAAACTGACCCATTAGCAGGTCGGGTGCCATTTGTGTCTTGAGGATGGTGTCTACTTCAGCTGGCTTATGTCATGGGCCCCCTTGCCCCTCATCCCTGCATGTCTTGATCGCGTGGCTCGGTTCCAGTGTTCGCCCCTTTCCCTTCCACATCAAACCATACTCCCTTCGCAAAAGGAACAGCCGCGTGCAGTTCATCGCTTGCTCTGTGGCAGGCACTGGCTTTTAGCAAACACCAAGCCCACCCTGTGTGTGTGTGTGACATAGACCCTACATGTGCTAGAGGATTCCACAAACTGAATTCAGGGAATCTCGGAATCGTCAGATCTCCATCTCTCCAAGCAGAGTCCCTGAAATTCTGGTAGAAAGTCCGAGGGATGGAGAAAGCTCAGCTATCAGATGAGTCGCCGCCCGACGCACCACAAACTCCGCATCAGCCCCCGGCTGGATGAAGACGTATCTCAGGCTGAAAGAGAGATGTGGGAAAACTCGCATGGCATCCCAAAGATGGCTCGTGGACACAGGTCACAAATGGCCATGTATGGTTTTTTTTGCGTACCACCTCAAAGTGGTTGGTGAACATTTATCCCATCTAAACGATTTCCACCAAAGGGTCCCTAATTACAATTCACACCGAAATGAGCCTTGGGCGAATGGGGGTCACAGACCTTTCCCAGGTCAGCACCATTTTCTCCAAAGCAGGTGGGAAGAGGGAGCTAAAATTGGCATGCTTCTTCAAAGCCTGCCTCGATCGTTAAGATCAGGCAGGCTATGAAATCAAAAGGGCACTTGCGCTGTCCTAAAAACCCAGGTATCCATACAAATCATCCGTTTCCCGTTGGACAGCGTCCAAAACAGGGTGTCCAATTATATGTGTGTCCAACCACAACGTGTGGTGTCCTGTTCGTTTCCCTTTCAGCAACCCCAAAGTGGGCATCCTCAAAATAAGCGCCCAAATTCGACGCACTCCCCCAGCATCTGAGCCGAGTCTGGCCTGATTCCCAGCTTCTTCGCGTCCTCCAACACTTCCTCGCCCAACTTTGGCGAGATGATGAGGTTCAGGGCGTCGACCTCTGGGACTCCCATGAAACTCACGCGGGTCACTGGGGAAGCCCATGTGCAATTTTGATCTGTCGCACGCATCGGGCCAAGTGGATCAACTCGGCCACCCAAACCAACTGGCCCACGGGCCTACAAAAGAATAAATGTCCGGTGGGTTCCAATGCCAAGTTTGGAGCTCGAAAGGGAAGTCGACAGGCCTACCGCGAAACATCGGACCCGGAGCGCGACACCCTGGTCAAAGAGACCGGCGCCGTGAGAACCGTAAAGAACATCAGCTCAACAAGGTACAAGGCATGCCAAAGCGGCGGCAAACCAGTCAATAAGGAGAACCCTGGAGAAAACACTGGTAACTAGAGTAAAATGGTGCCCCTACAATCATTCTAGATCCTTCACATTTGGGGGGAACACCCCCCAAATCCACCAGACTAATTTCCCCGCGGGGTCAACACCCTTATTTGCAAATCCTCAGAGAGAGAGAGAGAGAGAGAGAGAGAGAGAGAGGAAAAAAACAAAGGAGAGTCAGAGAGAGAGAGAGAGAGAGAGAGGAGATTTGTCACGAATTTCCTGCAGAGGGTTTGGAGGACAGACCGTGTTTTCGGCGGTTGCTTGTTCAGCTGCGGCTCTCTCTCTCTCTCTCTCTCTCTCCCTCTCTCGCTCTCTCTCTCTCTCTCTCTCTCGCTCTCTCGCTAGCTCTACCAGAACACCGCAGGTCCAGCAATGAACAAATATGAAAAAGGGCCTGAAACCACACCTAAAACAACCCACCCCACCATCACTCATCACTCATGCCCATGCCCAATCTGCTGTTTCCAAAACACCCGAGTGCAGGTATCGCCTTTCCAGTGCCCAGGCTCTACGTGCATAAACAGAAGGCGGTCCTTCATTTGATCCCCCTGGCTGTAATTTGCGGGCCCAAAGAATTCCCTGCACTTTTCCCTGTCTTTGGTTTGGTCTTGAACCCCACAAGTCACAAGCCCATTCTATTGCGGACCTCCGGCACATCCTCCAGCTTGCCGAAGCACGCCCCCGTCTTGTCGTAGGGGCTGACCTTCAGCACTGTGCGCCCTGCCTTGGTCGTGGGAACTGCTTCGTTTCGGGGCCGCGAAACGAAACGGTGGGAAGCTTAGCCTTGCCCCAAACATCGGGCCTTTCCCACTGCTCAGCATGTTGACGATGTGGGTACGGTTTGCTTGATTTTGTGCAAGACAAAATATAGCCCGCAGAAGCCAATCAAAACTATGTCACAATTTGGGCATGGTCAATCAAGGGGAAACACCTATCTTGCAGGTTCCTTTTTTGGCGACAAACCCCAGTTGGCAGGCTTGTGGCCCGCCTCTCCTTTTGAGCCGACCAAGTGCCACTGAGTGATCCTGGATCCTGAATTTGGAATATGCTAGTTCCAAGCGCACTTCCAGCGATGAATCTCCCCTCCAAAATGGGGCCCCAATTTTCTCCAGAAACTTCCAGGGTTCTCCTTCCGGCAATAAAAAAAAGAACAAGATGCAGATTCAGGAACAAAAAGCAAGTATGATATTTACAAAAAAAAAAAAAAACTCCGTCAGCTTCGGGTCCAGCCTCCTCCAAGCGCCGCGCCACCCGCGCCGCCGGCTTCGCCGGGTTCAGCACGTCACCCACCACCGCCCAGCGCCGCAGCGGGCGGCCCAGCACTGGGCCAAAACGCGCCAAACGGCCGCGCCACGCCTGAAAGCGAGAAAACGATGGGTGTGCCGTTTTTTAGGCGACCTTAGGCGACCCCCCAAAATGGGGGAGTTTCCCTTTTGGTTTCTCTGCAAACCACAAAACGATACACCCCGATTGTGCTTCGGAAATGGGGGAGCTTTCCTTTTGGTTTTCCTGAAAGGTCTTAAGGAGATTCCTGTAGCCAGTGTTCCGGTTCCGTGTGGACCGGTTTGCTCGGGGAACCAAAAGAAAACCACCCAACTTGGGCTCTTTGGAAAGACCGCCGATGACACCGCTTTGTCAGCCATTTGACCAGCGAGTTACCCTCTGAGTCTGCTTTACACCAGGTTGGGTGCCCGCAAATAAGGAATCCCCAAGCAATCTCCATCAGGGGCGAGCTCGTTTTACTCCCTATGTTTTGTGCTTTTGCAACCCTCTTTTTCTTCCAAAGTAAACAAGCAATCTCGGTGGCTTCCCCATTTGTTTCACAAATCAGGTATTAGACCATGCAAAGAATTAAACTTGGGCGGGCGCACCCATTTATGGCTCGGACTATCCCTTGCTCACCCTCATCTACCCACGTTTTGCTTGCGACTCATTTGAAGACGAGCGGTCGTTTCCTCCAGCCTCGAGGCGTTCTTGCAAGTCCTCCAGGAGCTGCAGCGAGAGCCCCATGACTGAATCGAGGCCCCCTGCGCGGCCAGTACGCCACAGCGAGGGAAGGAAACGGATCTCAAGGAAACGTGCAGACCAAACCCGGTGCTTGCACTTGCCTTTTCTAGCCAAGGTTTCATCAACTCTAGGTTTTGCCTTCTATAGAGGTAACTGAAAGCACTGGGAAAGCAAGCACCATTGATATGGCTGAGAGTTCGGTATTGACTTACCAAACAGTGTTGGGCTTCGACAAATCCAACTACAGCAGCGCCAAGCAAGACAGCAAGGGGTGAGTCTTCGCAAAACCAATGCATCCTGTACCACTGAGGTTGGGCGTCTATCAAAGGCTGGTGATGAGTGGGGAACGAGCTGCGGCAAGGTTTCTGGAAGGAAGATTCAAGCACAACAGTAACTGGTATGGTTCAAGTCGAGAAATTGATTGTGTGGCTAGTCCTGGGTGCTCAAGCAGCTGGGAAATGGGAAATACCTCAAGTCAGGGAAGCTCGCTAGCCACTCTGTGGTTGGGTTGAAGTTGCCCGGATGTAGTCGCCCGGGCGCAAACGAAAAGCCAGGAAATGACATGAACCAAGGAAAGTCCGAACGGCTCGAAAGTCTGATCACGCGCGTTAACAAGATTCACTCAGGTCTCAGCAACCAAACTTTCCACAAGTCAAAGCTCTACATCCTGCACATCTCTCTTTCTTCGGCAGCATGGCCAAGCTCACCGCGCACTGTTTCTGAGGAAAGGGACTGCATGCTGGACTGCCGTCATAAGTCGCTGGTGCCGGCACGAGTGCCTTGCTCTGCTGCGCGACATGAGAAATGCCCCTGTCTAGACAAAGTGCATTGGGCATGTTGACCCCGGCCAAGTACGCAGGGCTTCAGGGCGTTAGGGCGACTTCTTGGAAGGGCATCTTGTACCAAGCGCCGAATGCGGCAGTGGCCAAGGACTAGGCAGTGGGCAAACACCAGGCCATCGCATTTCTGCGGGCAAAGCTCCATGGCCCAGCTTATTGCATGGCACCTGTCGAGGCGCATCTGGGGATGTCGCAGGTCCGGCCGACTGCACTGGCCAGCGATCTGGTAGGGATGCAGGTCTGTTGGGCCTGAACAAACTGCACCCAGTTCCTCAGTGACCCTGGACCAAGGGAACTGTTTGTTGGGTTGACCATTTCTAGTTGGGAACCCACCAAACAAAAAGCTACCACTCATCAACTAGGTGCATGGTGAGAGGGGCAAAAATATGCAAAGAACGGATACTGCAGCCTTTCATTGTTTGCTTTCATGACTGTAAGAGCTGTGGCTAAGAAGTAAGTAATCGGAAGGTAGCCTTGTGGCTATCTCGGGTTCCTGGTGCTAGCAAAGAGCAACCCTCACCAGGGTTCGATTCCTTTGGTCCTTAATCCTTGCAACGAAGCGCCACTTCCCTTGCCACCGCCCTTGGAATTGCCTCCAGTCTTATTTTGCGCGCAGCCGAAGCTCACCTTACCCCTACTTGGTGATTTGGATCGGCGCTTCAAATGGAGCTGAGCCCAAGCCGCCAATCCAAACCAAGCAGCTGAGGCACCTGAAAAGTACTTCCCAAGAAGCAGCTGGTCGGCTCTTATGAACAACAAGCTTCGTGGGCAGGTCGAGGCAAAGCCCGAACCATCCTCCACGCGCCGACCTAGGCCCTTCCCAGCAAATATAGACTCTGATTGGACCTTCGAAGAAAACTCAGATCACCTAACCATTTGTAGGTGTCCCCCAACCTTTCGGGGAATCCAAAAACGACCCCGGGCCGGCTGGCCAAGGTACGCCGCAACGCGCAACGGCAACGCGTTCCGCCTTCCACCTTCTCCACGTTCTCCTGGACGACTGGATGCTCCACCATCAGCGCCCCAGCGCAATTCAGCACCTCCTCCGAAAGGATGCCCCGCAGCACGTCCTCAGAGCTGGAGCTCGCCGAAGTCGAGGCCAAGCAATGGAGTTAGTTGTATAGAAAAACAAGCTTGCAGAGTTGCATTCAGAAGGTTTGGGGGGTGGTTTAGGGATGGTTTAGAGACGGATTGGCACTTGTTTAGTGTGGGTTCCGGGTTGGTTTAGCGTGGGTTTAGGGTGGGTATAGGATTGGCTTTAGGGTGGTTCTAAAGTGGGGGGTGTAGGGTAGGTTCAGAGTTGGTGCAAATGGTTTACTGCTGGTTTAGAGTGGGCTCGTTTAGTGTGGTTAAGACCTTGGGTTCGGTTTAGGGTGGGTGTAACATTGGTTTAGTTTTAGCGGGGGTTTTGGTTTCCGAAAAGTCACATGTGAACCCCAGCAAAAAATGGCGTGTTTCGTGTTTCCCCGCCGCAGAATTTGGAGGCCACCCCCATCACGTCCTCCTCCGCCAACTCCGGCGCGAAGTGCACCTCGGCCTTCTGGGTGCCCACCATGCGCAAATCCGCCGCCGCGTCGTGCAGGCACAGCCTCGAAGCCGGCTGCGAAGAAAAAACACAAGACCTGGTGACCTGGTGATCGAAAGGCCGGGTTCAGCCGCTCCACACGCGCCATGACAACTGTGCCATCTGACTGCGGGGGACGGTACGCAATTTGTGGCTCGGGCTGCCGTTTCAGAAGTGCAAGTACTACTAGGGCTACTAACCGCGGCAACCACCAGGGTTACTACCGAAGCTTATGACCACCGGAGGCTGCAAACCACTTCCCAAGCACTTGGCCCCTTTCAGCTCTGAGCCCGAAGGGCGCACCCACAGTACGGCAGCAGTCCCCGGCATAGGAGCGAAGGAAGGCCTCCGCCTGGCCGTGTACCCAGCCTCTTAAGTAGGGCCTTCAGGGAAACCTCCCGTTTCAGGGATTTGTAAAAGGAGAAACTGCCACTTTTGCTGTTTGGTCACTTTCTGCTGTTTGGTCCGAATCGCCTTTCAAGAACCTGAATCGTGTGGAAATCCCACGGCAAGCCATGGCCTTTTGAGTGCAGGTTCAGGGCAGCACCTTGATTATATAACACTTTGGGGGGGTCTGATTCATCCGGCGACAACAGCAACAGCAACAGCAACAGCAACAGCAACAGCAACAGCAACAGCAACAGCAACCACAACCACCATCCACAACCCACAACCCACAACCCAACCCACAACCCCCCACAAACCACAACAACCACAACCCACCAACCCAACAAACAACCAACAACCAACAACCAACAACCAACAACCAACAACCAACAACCAACAACCAACAACCAACAACCAACAACCAACAACCAACAACCAACAACCAACAACCAACAACCAACAACCAACAACCAACAACCAACAACAACAACAACAACAACAACCAACAACAACCAACAACCCAACAACCAACCAACAACCACCAACCACCAACCCAACCACCAACCACCAACCACCAACCACCAACCACAACCAACCACCACCACCAACCACCAACCACCAACCACCAACCACCAACCACCAACCACCAACCACCAACCACCAACCACCAACCACCAACCACCAACCACCAACCACCAACCACCAACCACCAACCACCAACCACCAACCACCAACCACCAACCACCAACCACCAACCACCAACCACCAACAACCAACAACCACCAACCAACAACCAACAACCACCAACCAACAACCAACAACCAACAACCAACAACCAACAACCAACAACCAACAACCAACAACCACCAACCACCAACCAACAACCACCAACAACCACCAACACCCACCAACAACCACCAACAACCACCAACAACCA